CCTACTAGATACACACACACACAAATATACATTATCATTTGATTCCCACAGAGACAAACTAGAATCATGATACACTTACAGATATAAATTTTACACACAAACACTGCTTGTCAAGACAAATGCACACAAAGCCTGCTTAATCAATGAAAAACAAACACCACAAAAATTAAAAATAACAGAATTTTTTCATTTTTTTTTTCCATATCTTATTCTCTGATAAAGTTTTAATAAAGGGGAAACATTTTTAATCTACAGATATAGATATTTATTATTCTTTTATGTGCTGTGCCACTTTACAGTGTTTCAGCCATTGTGATCTCCAGCCTTCTTTAGGAGTGTCAATGCAGGAATTTCAAACAGAACTCTTTATTTAATACTCAAACTCAGTGAAAATAGAGTGATCAATAAATGAACAGTATTAAAAAAAAAACAAAAAAAAACAGAACATCCTGAGAAATTGAGAGCAAGATGAGAAGAATCTGACCCCTACTAAATAAAGTGTTCAGTTTCAAATTCTCTGAATGTTACTCAGATTCACAGACACAACAAAGATGAGGATATTAGTCTACATGTAAATAATAAAAGTAAGCATGATGACAATCTCAGTTCCTATTTTTTTTTTCTTGTCTCATATTTCAAAAGATAATTAAATGAAGTTATGTTAGAAAGATAACAGTTAACCCCAGACTTAAAGAGATCAAGACTGAAGTAATTGGGAAGAAGCTGTCTGAATGGAACTTACTTCCTACTATAGAGATATGAAGGGAATGTAGATGATTCATCCACATAGAGGCATAGAGGGTCCCACTTGTAAATTGTGGTACTAGGGAATGTAGCTTGTTAGAACACCTGCCATAGAAATCGCGATAGAGCAGTAAGAAGCCCACAACATTTCCTCTGTGGGAAAGAGGTTTAAGGGTGGAAAATAATTCATATTAATCCATATGGAATATCCTTTAAGTATGGAAAGCAGTGTTGTCAGATTGTCTTTTTTGACAACATATTTCTGAAATTTGGCTTTTTTCATGTTGGTTTAACACCAGAGAATTGATTTGGCATCTTTGTCGTTAGGTTAGCATTGTTTTTTTTCACATGCTAAAATATATAATAAACACTAACCAGTATATTACAGCTGCTATACTACAGTCTTTTCTTTTTCATCCTTAGTGATGCACCTGAATTATGAGAAGGAGAAGAGCTCCCAGAAATTCATTGTAAAAAAAATAAAAATAGGAATTATATCTCTTTCTTTTACAAACCTATGCCAATTTCAGCAGCCAATCAAAATGAAGAAATTTTTCTTCTATAATTCATATAAATAAATAAATTAGTGATCATTTTTTTCCTAATCTTTCACATATTCAACCCTCTTTTTCTCCAATGTTTCTTTCATAAATTAAGTTCTTTAAATGAAAAAAAAGTCTTTAGGATATACATAATAAAAAAATGAATAATTAATAAAACAGTTAGGTACCTCCACTTTTTCACATAGCATAATGAATAAGGCCAAAAACAAAATAAAGTTTTATTGCCAAAATGTTTATGTTATTATTAACATGAAAAACCAAAATATTTTTTGATTATGTTTTTAAATTTTTTTAATCCTTTCTAACACGTTCAAAATTTTGGTTAAAATCTTGTTTTGTTTATGTAATCAGGGTGGTGTCTTAATAAAAAAAAAACGCCTTTTTTTTTTTTTGCACTTTTTTCCGTTGAAAACCCATTGATTTTGAAATACTTGTAAAAATCAAATAATTGTCAGATTTTAATGAAATTTTCAGGACTTATTTACAAATGAATGAAATTTGTTTTTAATTTTTTTTTAGAAAATTTTGGTAAAAAAATTTTTTTTTTTTTTACATTTGTTACCCCTCACTTACTTAATTTCATGAAATTTCACAAAATACCTGTCTATTTCCTGAATTTTTTTTTCATTAAATTGGAGAATGTAAATCACCTATTTTTTTTTTTTTTCAAATTTGAACTATTTTAACTGAAAATCTGCCCTGAATTGAAAAATAATAAATCATTAGTAAAGTAAAATTTATTTGTTAGGTAAAAAATTTAAATTTCACGAAATTTATCTAAAAACGTTATTTTTTTTTTTTTTTAATCAAAGTATTATTAGAATTCTAAAAAGAAAACACTAACTAAAAAAAAAAAAAAAAAGATTTTCCAGCGAATCAGACTTGCTTGACTAGTTACCTAAATAAATTAAATTTCCGAATTTAGAGCTAAAAAAAAAAAAAAAAAAAAATCACTATAAAAATAAAATAGTAAGAAATAAAGTGGTTTCATTATAAATGTCTAAAATCCCACTGTGATTAATAAATAAATAAAATCTCATATGCTTATTTGGCCTTTTCCTGGTTTTATGTAACAAAATTTTAATCTGGCAACCCTGATGGAAAGTAGTAGAACAGCTGAAGAAGGCCGATGTGGTACAACGGCCGAAACGTGTGTAACAACAAAGATGGTCATACTGATCAAAATAGCAAAGCATAAATAATGATAATTTCTCATCTCAACAAATCCCAACAAGCATTGAAGTGTTTTTATTTAAACAGTTTTTAATATAAAAAAATGGTTATCAATGAATTGATAATAAACGCGTATTTCGAGAAGGAAAAAACAAAAAAAAAATAAAATAAAATAAAAAAAGCAAAATTTAATTGAACACCTCAGGAAAATATTTTTTATTTCGCCAAAAACCCCGAAAGCAAGAAAAACCCTAATTTCGTTGACTAAACTAAAACTTGCCTCAATTTTTTTTTTTTTTTTTTATTTGTCAAGAAAAATAAAAAAAGACAACATTTTTGACGACATTGAATGAAATTTATTTTTCACGCACCTTCCTGGAGTAAATTCAAGAATAAATTAAAAAAAGAAATTTCACAGAAATTTGCTCTGTTGATATGTAAATAAATTACTGTAGAGAGGTATTTTTGCAGTAATTTAAAAATGGAAACATTTTATTTTTAAATTTTAATTTCCCTCTTTCAAATTCAACTCACTTGTGGGTAAAGTAAAAAATAAAAAAAAAAAAAAAAATTTATTTAGAGATTTTAGGGATATGTTAAGTTTAACGTTTCAAATGATTCCTGCATTCCCCCTTTTTTTCAATTTTTTTTTTTTAAGTATACTCATATTAAGAATAATCCTTTGTTGGATTGTTTTAAAAATAAATAATAACAACAAAAACACAAATTGTAAATTTATCCACGCATTTTTCAGCACGAAAATTAAATAAATTTATTTTTTTATTTATTTAAAAAAAAAAAAAAATTGGGAACCACTGCCATTATTTTTTTTCTCGTTTCAGCTAAAAATTAAAAAATAAAATACATTTTAATTTTTAATAATTTAACGAGGAACTGCAACGCATTATAGGAATATTAAATAACAATTAAAAGTCGAAAACTTTAAAAAAAAATATTTAAAATTTATTTTAAATAAAGCAAAACATTTTTTGTTGTTTATTATTTTAAAAATTAAACTTAAAAAAGGGACATTTTTTAGGACAACACAAATCAAAATGTAATGTTTACACACAATGTTTACATCTTTTAAACTTTAGGACCTAAAGTTTAGGTTATTTAATTTAGAATTATTTTTTTTAAATTAATTTCTAAAGATTCTATTTAAATTTAATTTAAATAAAAATAAAAAGTAATAATTACATTTTTAAACAATATTTTTATTTTACGTAAAAACACGTGTGGTGAGATGATTTTTCTTAAATAAAAATAAAATGCATGAATTTTAATATTACTGTAATTATGATATTAATTTAAATTTTTAACAAAGATAATTTTTAAATTACAACTGTTGATTAATTTCATTAAGAAATCAAAAATTTACAAAGAAAAACGAATTTACATTTCACGAAAAAATTAACTTACAATCAAATCCATAAGAAAATTCTGTAATGTAAACCTAATTAAAATAAAAATAAGGAATTGTGGACGATAGAGACTTTTAAAATGATCACTTTGTCGTTAAACGTACTGAAGATAGGAAAACAAATCTTTCATAGAAGAATTTTAATAGCTTCTTGCTTTTTTATTCATTTTGAATAATAGTGTTAGTTATTGTAATTAATTGTATTTAAATTTAAGACTACAGATTTACTATGAATGAACAATGAATTCTATCAGTAATAATAATAAACAATATATTATTAAAATGAAATAAAGATTAAATTCTTTAAAATAAAATCGACCAACATTGAAAAAAATAATTTTATTTTTTATTCAATGGTCGGTTTCGTCATATTTTTTTTGGTAAAATGAATAAGCATTTAAATGTTACAGACAAAATCTAAAAAGACTGACCAGTTTTCGGCTGCTCTCATGTGAGAGTGTCCTTCGTTAAGTTTTTTATCATTCATCTTTAAAGAGAAGATCGCAAATTTAGTTTGAAATCACAAAAATCAAGCGCACATCAATTTGATCATCTGCAACATAAGAAAGACGACAACATTATTGAAATCATAAGCGGCCCTCCAACATCTAAACTCTACATTCCTTGATAAACTCATTCCTAAAATTTAAAAAAAAAACTAGATTAACAGATTAAAAGCGTGAATTAACAAATTATTTATATTTCTTATTTTATTAAGTTAGATTAATTAAAATTGGTTTTTAATTTATTTCTCCTCGTGGTTAATTGAATTTGTTAATGTTGTAAGCGGGAAGAGCTAAGCTCTTTCGTAATAAAAACAACAAACAGCTGACAACATGGCTACGTAGGAGTTAACGTATCGCTAAAACGAGTGGAATTTTCGTTTCAAAGTTCGTGGGTTTTTTTATATTAGCCATCGGCTAAGCTGGCAAAGGGTTTCTCTTGAAACCTAATCTATACACACAAATCTGGGCTTGTATATTCACAAACACAACGGCGAAAAACAATGGATTTCTTCTCTTCTGATATTACCTAGAGACACTGGCCGACCTTTGTTGTTGTTCTTAGTGGTAGCAAGTTCTTTATGTTAAGGGAAAATGTTCGTTAGAATGTTAACGATACTTTCCAAGTAAGTATGTAATTGTACACTTAAATTTGGTTGGATTTACAATGTTGCTGTAATTATGGGAAAGGAAGGGGAATAAATAAAGTTAAGCTTGGCACAGTTAATAAATTATATATTTAAAAATTAATCTTTTTTTTTATCCCACACCTGAAGAAAACTAGTTACTTAAATAAAAATATAGTTAGTAAAAACTTATAGTATGCAAGCATATACAATTCATTCCTTAATGCAAATAAGTAGTTAGAAACTAAGACTAAGAAATTAATTGACAAGAAAGGCGACTAATGAACACATCTATTTTCATTTAAAAGAATGGGCACATTTTTATAAATTAAAGCCTGGTCGCAGTGTCTTCAATTCAAGTATCTTCATAATTTTTAGAGGTCTAATTCTAATTTGTGATAAATCTAATCTGTTATATTTATGAAAAATGCTCATTAATCCACACGTTGACATTATTGGTTGATTAGACAGACAGTTTTTGTTTTTTTTCTCTCTTAGTAAAGTTGTAAAAATGCTGAACGTAACAGTTACGTCGTAACTTAATCTCTGGGATGAGAAGTAATGTATTCTGTTGCCCTCATCTTTGTTATTGACAGCGTTTCGGCCTTTGCTCTCTCTGGTCTTCATCCCATGCATATCGATCTGAGTAACCTTCAAAGAATTTCGAACTGGATCCTTTCTACAAGGTTAAATAAATTGTTCACGTTCTCCTATCGATATTTAGAGATCTCTCGTTTTGTTCTTATTTATTTTGTAATGTTCACTTATAGACAGTGTAACCAGGGTGCGCAATAACTAAGAAAAATGTTAAGTCAGAACAAGACGGGATATTCAGAGACATGGCTTGCAGAACCTGAACAAGGTTTCAGTTTGAAATTCTCTAAAGATTACTCACTCTGATCTACAAACACCTGATGAAGGCCGAGAGACGGGGTGCTCAACAACCGAAATGTTGTGATAGTTAACAACAAAGATGTGGACAACTTTAATGAAAACTATCTATACCCGTGGGAATAACAGAGTTTTTATAACTGTGATTTCTAGATTAGATTATGAACGTAAGTTAAAGTACTGTTTAGTTTACTGACTCGCCGTCAAGATTGATGTTAGAAATAAAAATTACTTGTGCATGCTTCTTTGCAATTTCAATTAGTCATGTGAAAATTCTTTTGACTGGGAGTTAAACACCAGGTGGAGGAGATTAGGGGTCTAAAAGACAGATTTTTATTTATCCAAAAATATTTTTAGGACGACTCTAGCTTCGTATGGTTTTTCGGTCAGGGTTTATCATCTCTCAGTTGCGTCACTGTTTTCGGGTAGAGCGTGACTCGGTTGTGGCTCTGTCCATGAACAGACACACAACTGAGGAAAATAAATACTATGAGGAGCTCGGTCCTGGGGAACCTGCACTCCCCATTGCACTAGACAGAGAGTAGAATCGGTAGTCATACCGATGCCAGTGCAACCGACGTTTGCTTGGGCTGGGAATTTTTTTGTCCTTGGTATATATGCTCGGATTCTCCATGTTAAAACCGACCTTGTGCCCCATCCTGTCTCAATGGAGAAGACCAGGGTAAAATGTAAGGGTAACCGGTCTAGAAGGACAGTTCTGAATTCAAAAGCATGAAGAAGGCCACTTCAATGTCTTTCAACGTTTGTGGTAATTTACAGATAATATAGAAAAGAAATCTGTGAAGAGACATAATCAACTACATCCTGAAGGGACATGGCATTCAAATATCTAGAGTAAAAACTACATTTCTGTTTTGCATTTGTAATATTAAAGGCTGTGTCAGGTGATAATTATGTTATTATAATTAAAGTTGACCTCACTTTTGTTCTTATAATGACAATGTTCCATCAGTTGAGCTTTCAGGCTTCATCAGATAATTGTCTATCTGGGTAACCTCCAGGGAATTTTGAAACTAACTTTATTTAATCTATAGAAGTAGATTGCTCTAGTTCTACTGACCATGTCCAGAGATATCTTGTCTATTTCTTTTTTACTACTTGAGGTAATGGAATAACCTGTCACCCCCATGAATGATTACACTATAGGTATTAAATACCTATAAAGTCAACCGTCTACGAGAGACCCTTCTGAGTCTCACATAAACGGATGACTTTATAGGTACTTACTACCTATAGTGTAATCATTCATGGGGGTGACTCGTTATTCCATTACGTCACTACTGCTCAGTAATTGCTCACCCTGTTTCCACTGAGTTTAAGTCTCCACTGCCTGGCACTGGGATTGAACTCACAATTAACATGTCACCAAATTCACAGACCAATGATTTGATTAATCTGCTCAACTATTGTCCCATGATAATAGCAACAATGAGGCATTGTCCTCATGTAATTAATGACAACTCCTCATACCAAAAATTCAGGCTAAGAAATTGTTATATCCCTGGTTTTAAAATTCAGATTTTATAAGAACCTACTCGTGATCATGAGACTCATAACCCATAATGGCATCCCAAATTTCCAGGAACCAGTTCCAGGCAGGTAATCTTTAGGAACCTATTCTGCTTATATTCTTTTCAATCTGAGAATGGAAGCAAACCGCTTTATAGTATCAAAAAGAATTAAACCATTTTGATAATTTAATAGAAAACATTTATTTATCAAGATATTTCCAGATTGAAATTTTGTTCTCATCATATTTCTGTTCAGAAGTTTGATGCTTTTTGACTCTAGTGTCATCAGCTGTGTTACGGTTTTCTTAGCCACATTCGAACTGAATCACTGTAGTCCCAAACATCCAATGGAACGTGTATTAAATTTAGGACTAGAAGATTTGCCACATTTTTAACTTCAAGATGATTTCTTTTGTCAGAATAAATTCTGTTCATCACAGAAAACCCCTTTTCAACCTTCACAGAACTTACAGCAATGGTATTAGTTATATTTTAACTATTATAGATCAGCTATTATTGATATAGTTATTTTCTAAGCGTAGCTTAGATGTGGCACAAGGCCGAAAGTATGGGGTACCTGGTGAGGATCAAACTCACTTTTTAGTCGTAACTGATCTAGCGAGACAAGCTTGCTAACCATTACACCACGCTGAGGTGCCCCAGCTATTATTGATATATAAGATTATTTTTGGATATTCCAACAACTGGTTCAGTAAGCTTTTATAATTTTAAGAATCAGTTTGCATGAACTGGTACAATGCTGCCACTGCCTATAACCCCTTAGTGTCTAAGGGGTACTACATGTACTGCAGCTGGAATGGTGTGTCTTGAGCAAGATAGCCTGAAGGAGCCCAACCCTCTCCAGGCTGGTTTTGAATTCAGAGTTGTCCTTCTCCTAGACCTGTTGCCACCCAAGGCTATAAGACCCATTCTGCTCTGATATTTATGCATATCTGGTGTGAGAAGAGATTTATATCTTTCCCAAGAGTATTAACTCATAAGTGAATGTAATGAACTCTGTTGGAATTCAAACTTGGCTTTCCAGTTCCTCAATCTGAACCACTATCCATTACTCCATGATTGATGAGAACGGATACTACACTTTGATCTCAGTCAAAAGATTGAGAAGCGATGGCGACCATTTTTCTGACACCCAGTATCAAACGACAGAAACCAAGTAAGGCAACCAGCAAAAAATAAACAGTTACCATAAATAAAATAACATCGTCTGTTGAATTATTTTGAAATTATCATTCAGAAAAAGGTTCATAAGATGAGGATTTATCTAGAAAGAAAGAAGGAAAGATAGAAACATTCAACATCTCCTGCCAATACCTCATAAATAATAAACTACTGAATTTTAATTGTGTAAAAAAACAAAGACATATGAATGAAAGAACGGAAGATAGAAGTGCTTAATGGCTGTTTCAGTGAAATAGAAAATGTTGTCAATGTCAAATCTTCGTTTGTCCCCTCCTCACTTCTTAAAATAATGACCAGCATTCATGTTTATGATTGTTATTGCAATATTTTGTTAAGGTTACTAAGCTTAAATATTTATCTATGCAATAGGGGAATTTCTACAGATATTTTATTGTCATAGAACTCACCATGAGTTTATTCAATCATTAACTGAATCATTATGATTCATCAGAATATTAAAAATAAAACTGTGACATTTTCACAGGTCTTTCTTTTACTGTTAATTCAAACTTATAAAATCATTTTCTTAAAAATGTTTTTTCAGAAAAATAGATTTCTCAAGTCCACTTCTATATTTTTTTACTCTAATATTGATGGGAGTTTCTTTCCTAACTTTTTTGTTAAAGTTGTGTGGAAAGTTATGTTATTATTTTCACTTTAGTTATATATGCTATTCATTTTAATTGTTGCTTTTCTTGAAAAATTTTCAAAATTCAAAAAAGAATCGGCAATATTATTGGTCCCAAGCTGGCATCTCGGCTACAGTTTCTTTTTCTGCTGCTGTAAGATAGCTTCCTTGTGCCTTTTCTAAAAAATACTTTCATGGTAATTGTCTCTTCGCTATGGTACCTAAGATTTATGAATTCATGTGTAAAGCCTCATCAATTCACAGTTGAAATGGCGAGATGTAACTGTAAGTTCTATACTAACAGTTTCTTCTATCACACTTCTGGCTTTTTACTCCACAGTCAACTTTGATCTTCAAAAATTTAAATGCAATGTCAATTGTTTCTTCTGTCTTCTTAATTCCTGTTCTTTTATTGTTCTCTCTCCTTAATAATCCTTCTCTTTTTTCTTATTCTTTGACACTCAGTAACCCCCTTGTGTTTTAGTGGCTTTACTGCCTTGCATGGAGTGATATCATTAAAAGAAAAAAGTGATTTGTTTTTGTTAGAATTAGTCAATAGTACTTCAGTTCATTTGTGTAGAATCCTCATTTTTCTCTTGAAATATCCAACGATGATGCATCTACAACATTCCGAGGTAAAGAGTTCCATTTGTCTATCATCCACAAGGCAAAGAAGTCAGATCTTGCAACCATTTTTGAGTGCTGCTTCATTAACTTGTGTCAGTGTCCCCACATCCTCCTGTTTG